GCCTCCTTCACCTATTAGAGACTTATTCCCGAAACCCTAGCCTCCTTGAAGTGTGTGTGAGTGATCTTTGCACTTGTGAAGGAATTTTTGGTGCATTGTTGAGCAAGAAGAAGAAGGAGAAGGTAGAAGAACTCAAGGAAGAAGAAGTAGATCCAGATTATACTCCTCTTTGGCCATCCTTTCTGGTAATAAAGCTTTCATATTGATTATTGTACTACTAGATCTAGTTTGTCCCCAAATTGATGGTTTTGAGCTCAAATACCTCAAATCCCTAGTGATAAAGCTTTATAATCGATCCATATCTCAGATCTAGCCTTTCTTGAGCTCCAGGAGCTCAAGAAGGCCACCTTTTAACAGCGATGGTCTTGTTTTAGTCAAATAACCCCCATAATAGCCAAGTTTGAGTGCTATTGCTTCATTGCATCATAGATACACGTAAAGTTAGCAACTTTACGTGTTCAGATAGTCCCAGAAACTCATATCTATGAATTTGATGCACTAAAGCTGATTAGAATCAACTGAATGGGAACTGCATGCTAAGGACTTGACGAGTCGTTCTTCTGACTCGGCAAGTCAAGTCGCGAGTCTTAGATTCCCGGTTCAGTAGTAGCGAGTCTTTTTAGTGAGTGGAGTAAGGACTTAGTGAGTTAAGACATGGATCTGAGTGTAGAAGGACTCGGCGGGTCTACGCCTTGACTCGGCGAGTCCAAGGCAATCTCCTTACCCATAATAACAGACTCGGCGAGTTGTTCATATAACTCGACAAGTCGGTTGAAGGTTGGCATGGTATCACTAAAGAAGGGGAACTCGTCGAGCTGTGGCTAAACTCGACGAGTAGAGTCGGGTAAGGAAATAGAAGGAAAGATAGGGACTCGACGAGTTGGCGGCCCAACTCGGTGAGTCAGGTCAACGGGCTGTTAACTTTGACCAAGGGGTAAAATAGTCATTTTACCCTAAGATTAGTTATCAGTGTTTGCTTAAGTGTCTTTTAGGAATTGTAGTTGGGGAGTTACCGGAGCATCGGTCAAAATGTTTCCGATCAGCATTTCAGCAGTCAGCCTTACGAGGTGAGTTTTCCTTCCAGTAGGAATGGGTCTACGGCCACAATGCCGACCCGTTTAGATAGTAGTAGTTCCGTACTGCGGTCCGATGCAGTAGTTTAGTATGCTTGATGTCTTTGTGATACAAGCATGTTATGTGTTTTGTGTTCCGGACTATGTTCCGATGCAGTATGCAATATATATGCTTATGTTACATGCTATGATTATGTTATGCTATATTCAGTCAGTTCCGGACTTCGGTCCGATGCAGTGGGCAAGGCCCTAGTCAGTTCCGGACTCCGGTCCGATGCAGTTCCGGACTTCGGTCTGATGCAGTGGGTAAGGCCTTAGTTAGTTCCGGACTCCGGTCTGATACAGTTCCGGACTTCGATCCGATGCAGTGGGCAAGGCCCTAGTTAGTTCCAGACTTTGGTCCGATGAAGTGGGCAAGGCCCAATATGTGCTTATTATATTATTGTATGGTATGGGGTAGTTTGGGGGAGCTCACTAAGCTTTGTGCTTACAGTTTCAGTTTTGGTTTCAAGTACTTCAGCTAGCAAAAGGAAGGGCTCAGGATGATGGCATGGCACACACCACAGTTTAGCCTGGGAGTTAGACTCTGATATTTTGATATGACCTTGACACTAGTTTCGATTTGATAAATTTATTATGAAATTTTGAGATATGTGATTCATGGATTTTATCTTTTGATATTTGATATTATGGTTTAGTAATGTTTTCAAACGAAAAATTTTGGGTTGTAATTTTGGGATGTTACAAGACCGACTGATATTTTGATTTTTTGATGTATTGGAAGGGAACACGCATGTGGACCTTATAGGGATATCCCATGTCATGGGGTTGAGGGTTGAGGGTTTCATGGTGGGACAGACTGCTTTAAAAGCTACTACAGGCAAGGTTACCAAACATGCGAACCCGTGCATTGAAAATCAACATTTGTTTATACTATTTGCATTTGATATGTTTGGTTTCCTCACATCGGATGCAGTAGAGCTTCTTAATAGAGTACAACAGATCATACATAACAATGTTATATCCCTAGATTTATAGATGTAGTCTTCAAAATAATTAGCTTTACCATACAAAAAGGCATAACAGTGCAGCTTTTTGCCCATTTGAGATTTCACTCATTGTATGATTATAACTAAGATTTATTAAAATTAATTAGCTTTTTCACCTCAGTCATTATCTTTTGTCCTTAATGATGGTCTTTATAGTCTCAATTTCTATCGTGGTTGGTCTCTTATCATTATCAAAAGGCTTTTATATCGTTTTTATTATAAAATTATTTAAAAAAACTAAATAAATAATGCCCCACTCTGTCTTCTTCCCCACCCTTTCTCATTAAGTCTTCTACTCCACCCCTTCTCTCCACCGGCTCTACAAATGGACACAACTACCAAAAAAATGCATGTGACATTGTAGAGACAACTATCGTA